TTTGTTAATGGGTGGGCCATTAAGGCCTGAGCCAGAATACTTTACATAACAAAGATCTCCAGGTAAAACTGTAGCAATTGCCCAAAGCCCTTTCAATGCATCATCATCCAGCAAGGCTCAACCAAGCCTGGAACTCAGGATAGCCTACAGAGTTGCCCCTGCCTGGCCTCATGGGAGTCTGACAACCAATCAGAATACAAGCTCCAATTCAAATCCCAACAAAGGTTATAAAACCAGGGGTGGGATTCAAATTTTTTAACAACCGGTTCTGTGGGCGTGACTTAGGTGGTGGGCATGACTGGGTGGACGTGGCTTGGTGGTCATGTTATTGGCTGGGCGTGACCAACTCAATATCACTCACATCGAGGCACACATCTCCTCACCTAGCCTCTCATGACTGTGGGGATGTTGCAACAGTCGTAAGTGTGAAAAAGGGTCATAAGTCACTTTTTTCAGTGCCATTGTAACTTTGAATGGTCACTCCACACAAGCAAAGTACCACCAAAGGAGGGGGGAAAAAACTCCAGAGAAGTTTCTGAGACAGGAAGTCTAGTCCTGCCAAGAATGTAATAAGGGCTAACGGAGAGGCAGTTTCTGTAAGCAACACCAGAATGTTTCCTTCCTGCCTTCCTTACAGGATTAGGCCAGTAATTTCTTCTAACAACCGGTTCTCCAAACTGCTTAGAATGTTAACAACCAGTTCTAGCGAATAGATGCGAACTGGTAGAATCCCACCCCTGTATAAAACCCTGGCACTCTCAGCATCTCAGCCCTTTCTTGATCTTTTCCTTCATCTTGAAGCATGTGATAATCCTTTTCACTTTGGAGCTTCAGGCCATGTGGTTCTGTCCACCATTAAACCTTCCAAACTGCCTCCATGTTTCCAGTGTCTTTTTCCCCGCTTGGAACTGGACCCAGAAGGATCTTTCTTCCAATAATGGCTAAGGCACAACTAGAAATCACAGTCTCCCAGTTTCTCGCCTGGTGCCTTAACCACAAGGCTCAACTGGCTCTATTATAACTTATTGGTATTGATATAAACCATAACATTCATCTAGAATTGATAAAAACCATAGTAATGCCTGTTTTTGAATTTTCATTAATTTGTATTTCTTTTCCAAAGTAGCAGTTGAAAAGGACTCATTAATTCACAACTCGGTTGTTCCGTATTCTAGTATTTTTCCAATGTTGCCTAATTTTTAATTTGGCTGTTAAGTTTAAATAAATAATGAGTACTTTATTTTTAAGCTCATGATTTGATCGTGTAAATAAATACAGTAAACCTAGCTCTGGGGATATTATGCCCCTTTTTTGACAATCTCTTCAACATTTTGATATTAGATATAAATAATCCATAAAAGCCTGTTATTTATACAAGAAGAAAGAAATATTTTTCTATGGCTTGACTGATTTGATTGTGAAGGCTGTCCGTTGGCTAAATTTTCCTATATGCAATCACTTTTTCCATGCCAGCTCCCCATAATCATACATTGAAGACATCTGCTTAGTGTCCAGAATTTAAAGGACAGACAGATAATGAAATATGTAAAATGTCTAGTTCATTGTTAGAAATAAGAAAGGAAGCTATGTGTAGATAAGAAGACTTAGCTCAAATCCGTTTGTAAGAAAATATGCTTACACTTTCTTTGGCAGTTAAGGGGGTGGGAGGATGACCTAGATGAATTTTGCAAACCAAAGGAGCTTAAAAACAAGGCAAGTTATAAAATATATTATTTTGTCAATACTTTCCTGAAATATACCATCATTTTTTAAAGTGAGCCAGGGTAGCACAGTGATTAGAACGCAGTATTGCAGGCTGACTCCGCTCACTGCAAGGAGCTTGAAGAAGGTTGACTTAGCCTTCCATCCTTTTAAAGTCGGTAAAATGAAGACCCAGATTGTTTGGGGCAATATGCTGACTTTGTAAACTGCTTAGAGAATGTTGTAAAGCACTATGTAGCAGTATACAAGTCTAAGTGCTATTGCTAAAAAAAAAATGTAGTATACTATGTTAATTTACTACCATCAGATTTCTAGAATTAACTGATAGCATCTGGAATTAATGTCATTAAGTTTAATAGATTTGAAGTTAGCCATCACTTATTCTAATTGTACTGCTCATGAGTCACTTAACCTGAATGTTTCTGTAACATAATAATATTAAAGTACAACATTAAAATCAGGGATGTCCACAAATGTGGTCAAAGCATCCAGATGATGGTCACAATCAAACAATCAAAGGCCTACTAGTTTTTATGCATACTGTGGCAAGTTTCAATCACACTGTTGAGGCTCTCACACTCTGCAGCCCTTTCCCCAATTAAAATAATATTAAAATAAATTGATTAGAATAAACTACTAAAGCTGGATAGTAATAAATTATCTGACAATTCTAAAAGCTCAAATGCAAGTTTGCATATCCATCAAAAGAACAACGAAATTCTTTATTAACTTTTTAAAAAATGAACACTATCCCTTTTATCCTAATTAAGAAACTATTCCTTGGAAACAAATTGGCAGCCAGCCTAATCTGCATCAACTATAATGGGAAGGGAGGGGATCTTATTCATTTCTCATTGAAAACCCCCTCCAAATCTGTGTTTTGCTCCAAAGCTGCTAATACTTAAGGTGGGGGGGGGGGGGGGGGGGGGGGGCAAGCAGTCATAAATTCCCAGCAGGAAAAAATGGTATTGTATATTAAAACTCCTGTGAAACATTGCCAGGTTGTTCATGTGAGATTGGATAAAATGACTATTTTTGATATAATAGTCTGCAGGCAGTTTTAGGAATAGGTATAAAAACACATGCTTGTATTCAGAAGGGAGCTTGGAGGAACACCAAGTGTCAGAATACATGTTAGAATGTATTTTGTATTCCAGTAACTACAGAATCATTCAGCCAGTAGATGGCAGTGTTTAGTTTGCATCTATGGCTATAATCTATGGTTCTGTTTGTTCTGAGGAGATTTCCTGTTACAGTTACATAGTTGAGCAGTAAAGTACATGGTGACTGTATTCTTTGTTTGCTCTGTGGTGCTTTATATAAACAGCAAGAACAAGATATGTGCATAAATACATGACCAATTTAGACAGGAAATGCCTTCCTAAATTGAAGAGCCCCTGCATGTTAAGCCCTGCTAACAGGCCTTACAAAATAGAAAACCACCAAGTTCTGAGAGCACCAAAGACCCACCCTGCAATTCAACCCTGAGCTACAAATATTCTCTTTTATCAGTAGCACAAGCTGCATTGTTAGATTTCCTGCAATGCCCAACATAACATCTCTGTGGGCATTATGGGAAATTTGAATGATGTCTTAGTGCTGTCCACCCTCTGTGGATGTGTCTCTATGCCATTGGGTGTTGTTGGAGCTCTATAACTATACAACTCTAATTTGTGGTAAGTAAATCAAGAAATAAAAATGAAATAAATGTACAGGAGTGGCTGAAGGATAATTCCAGTTATAGTACCCATGGAGGACATTAAATTTTTTATCGCAATATGATTATCTTAATCTGAAAGAAAGAATTTTCTTCCCATATTCTGGGGTTGAAGCAGAGGTCTTTATAGTTGTGTTAAGTATCTATGGAGACCCTCAATTATCCAGGTCATGGCTGTCCCAAAGGTGGTTTTTCCAAAAGGCAACTGGATTTTCTTGTCTTTTTTTTTCTCTTTAAAAATGTTTCACTTCTCACCTAAACAGCTTCTTTAATTCTGAAGAAGCTTCTTGGATGAGAAGCTAAACATTTTCAAAGGAAAAAAACAAAACAAATAAGTCCAGTTGCCTTTTGCAAAAGCACCTTTGGGATAGTTGTGTAAAGATTTTTTGTTTTATGTGTATGAAGTTGGAAGACTTCCCAAGTTATGTGTGCCCCTGTGGAGTCAGTGTTGTCAGTGGGAAGATCCTGATTCAACTCACTAGTCAACATGGATGAATTTGTCTCAGTTACTGTTACTGTTACTGTTACTTAACCCAAACTACCTTATAGAGATTAGGTTATGAGGATAAACGAAAGAAGACACCAGAAAGGTGGTGTGTTTAACCTATGCTGATGGATGATACTTAGACGGAATGATTGCAGTTATGGCTTTATGACTATGTAATTGTTTTTATAGTATTGTTTACTATGAATATTATATTTTCCTATGTCTTTTAGTACTGTAAACTGCTGATTGTTTTGGGATTCTCAATAGAATTGCAATCAATCCATGAAGAAGGTACAATTTGGTCATATTTTTCATTATCAAATTAATTTTGGGGATTAATTTTGAAGGGACAGAGAGCCTTTCCCAACTTTGGTATCTGCAAACATGTGGATTTTAACTCCCAAACTTTTCAGCAAGCATTGCCATAGAACTGCACAGGTAGAGCGGCCCTAGATTTGAAAAGGAGAAGTAAATTGTGGTGGTTAAGACACCAAGTGGTACCAGAGGTGAGGTTTTACTCCATGGAAGCTCTCAGGGTAAATGTTGACTAGTTACAGTGTACTTCAGCTTTTGTTCCGGGAATTAAAGAAAGGAATCTTATGTGTAACAGAAAAATGAATAATAAATAGGGCACTGAATTTGAGTAGGAAACTATGAGTAGGTTTATATAAGTTCCTCTTTTCATCCCAAATTACTTTATGAGCAGAAAGGGTTTTAACATTAATTGTTGGCATGTTTGATATTGCTAGCATTTATCATTTCTCTGCCTTTAGATGAGACTGCAGAGTATAAATCAGAATGTAAGAGCTGAAGACTTCAGTTTCAGGCAGACATCATGGCTATAATGTCTCACCTAATGTTGGGATTTGCTTCCTTCTTGCCCATTCCCTACTTTTTGTAAGTATTTGCTCAGTGAAGCGTTCAATTCAAAATCCTTCATACTCTTATGCATCGTTTTGATTGGTCCTAATAAAAGTTTTGCTGAACTGTGTCTTCTATGTTTGAGTCACTAAGAGGCATATAGTCAAGAAAGGTAGCACACACCAATGTAAATAGAACAAAAGATGAACTTACCACCACCATTTTTGTAACAGAGGTAAGGGAACCTCCAAACATTTCCCAAGCCAATGATTTCTCCTGCCACAGACAGCACATATTCCAGCTTGTTGTTCCAGTGATCTCGATCTAGTGTCTGATTCCCTGCTTTTTTCTTTGTTTCTCCAGTGAGTTGTGCATGTATTTCTCCATTGATCACTGCCCCAGGAACTCTGTAATCCATTCCACCTTCAAAAGACCAGTGCTGTTTTTTGCCCTCCCGCTGTTATGCTTACAACAATTAAATTCAAGCTGGAAGAAAAGTGAGAAACAACCTCAGGGATCTGCTCAAGAGTTCACAGCCCAGTTGACTTGCTGACAACAGCTGGAAATGTTGATGTTCCTTGTGCACAAGATGTACCCACAGATTTCACCGAGGTAGGGGGTGTTTACTTTGGATTCAAAGAACACTGACAGCTTAATTTTTAAGAGACTTCTTTCAAAATGTTCTGGTTCCTCACAGCGCATCTTTTCAGTCAACGTGCCTTGATACACCACTGGTATTTTATTTACTCTCTTAATTTATTTCTCTTGAACCAACAATCCAGTGACAACACTGCAAACTCTGTTTACTTTAGTATAGTCATCCCAAAATTGATAAGTTCAAAATGCATTTTTGGACCATAATATGTCGCTATCTTTACTTTCTCAGATCCATTTTGCAGCCCTCAAATGCCCTCGCTTGGGGTTACCCTAATGTTTGTTATGATTATAACATATTATAATTATATATAGATTATATATAGAGCACTGCACATCAGAACAACTAGACACAAGAGCAGTTTTTTCTCGAGCGCCATCACTCTGCTAAACAAATAATTCCCTCAAAACTGTCAAACTATTTACTAAGTCTGCATTACTATTACTATTAATCCTCCCATCCTTCCTTTCACCCATCTTTTCTCACTTATGACTGTAACTGTAACCTTGTTGCTTGTATCCTAATGATTTTTACTGACTGTTTCCTAGTGTGATGTGATTGCTTATTGTACCCTATGACTATCATTAAGTGTTGTACCTTATGATTCTTGACTCTTGATGAATGTATCTTTTCTTTTATGTACACTAAGAGCATATGCACTAAGACAAATTCCTTGTGTCCAATCACACTTGGCCAATAAAGAATTCTATTCTATTCTATTCTATTCTATTCTATTCTATTCTATTCCTATTCCTATTCCTATTCTATTCTATTCTATTCTATTCTATTCTATTCTATTCTATTCTATTCTATTCTAAAGATTAAACCTTTTAGCCTGATTATCCATATTAGCCTTTATTTATATTAAGAACCTCTCTGGAAGCCCAGTTGCTTTAAAAGGAGTTAAATAAGGAGATGTCTTTTCAGTGGTGGCACCCTATCCAAGATTCAAATGCCTTCTTCAATGGTTTCTGTGCACTCATTTTTGTTTTTTTCAACACTAGGCAATGCCTACATTTCCTGATCTTAGCAGGAAACCCTTCCAGTTTTGGTTTTCAAATGCTTTTCAGTGATGTTTTAATGGCATTTTTGATAGTTTTTGCTTTTTATACAGCAGTAGTATTTTTGTTTGTTTGTTTCAGTATGTTGGAAAGTATCATGGGGAAAAGACTTAACGTTATTTTTTCAACATGTATAAGCCTGTGAAATAAATTGACCATCACGGGAACTACCTAGGAGTTCTTATGTGTTCATTCACAAAGCAGAGTCCATTTTATTCTGTTTAAGATGTTTTATTTTTAAGTTAAAATAACCCCTATATCTATAGACAATATGCCATCCCAATCCTCCATCCAATTAAAATGAGACAATGCCAATTTGCTTTCTTTGAGTATAGATATCTGAGAAGACAAATATATTTACCTATTTTTTCTGGAAAGCTGAATCCCTGATTATACAAAAAGCAATCGGTGGAAACTAATCAAGGAGAGAAGCAACCTAGAACTAACTAAGGAGAAATTTCCTGACAGTTAGAACAATTAATCAGTGGAACAACTCGCCTCCAGAAGTTGTAAATTCTCCAAAACTGGAAGTTTTTAAGAGGAGATTGGACAACCATTTGTCTGAAATGGTATAGGGTTTCCTACCTAAGCAGGGGGTTGGACTAGAAGACCTCCAAGGTCCCTTCCAACTCTGTCATTCTATTCTATTTATAGAAGAGTGTATCATTTTCATTTCATTTATGGTCCCAGACCAATAAAGACCCTATCTCCAATGCATGATGTTTCTTTGACATTCAGCATATGGATTTTATGGCCAGAATACTGCATTTCCCAATAGCACTTTTAATATTTTTTCTTAACTGTAGAGATTAGGGACAGCTTGATTAGAATCAGTTTATCAAAAAGATTTTGGTGACAGCCCATTGTTTACATAGCATTTTGCATCATCACCTTATTTTTAAAAAGGCCATTTATAATAGTCCTAAACCATGGCCAAGATTTTTATTTTACAGTACTATTATTTATGGTTGAATATTCAATTGGCACATATATTAAAAGCTATTATATGTTAGTTGCAAAACTCCAGATGACCACTGCATGGCACCAAAGTGTTAGTTTTCTAGAAATCTTTGCTAGAGGTTTGTGTTGGGGTGTATGTTTTAGAGGCTAGTGGGGAAAGAAGTGGGAATGGGATTGTTCAAAATCCTCAAAGGAGAGTTTTGAAATCATATGTCAGGTCAGTTAGTATCTATATTGCATCTAGCGAATATGCTTGTTTTATATATTGATGCACTAATATTGTCTCCTCTTTCAGGCAGTGAGAGAAATTGTGCATTTTTGTAGAAGCCAGAAAGGCAGTGATGTGTGAATGTTATAGGTCCTGAAGGTCCAATGAAAACCACCAAGTACCTAATCAGATCTGGGGGTTTCAGACTGATTGGTTTTAAGCAGTATAACTAATAAGTGATGAGAGCTGCAGATTAGTCCAAAGTACTGGGACTGTGTACCTGGTTTTATAAACTATACAAATCAGGCAGAAGTCCATTGTAGGTGCTACTCAGCTACTCAGACTGATGTACGCAAATACAGTTTATATTCATTTTGCACAGCATTCTTGTGCTGTCAAAAGCTGAAGACCCAGGTGGGATAGGATTAGATATATACTGTCAAACAGGATTGAGCCTGCATGTACATACTTTTTCCCATACATGCATGCCAAAATTGATATATATCCATTTGCTGCCTTTTCACTGGTGGCTTCAGAAGTTTTATGTGGTTCATTAAGGCTAAGTAGAAACTTCCAATATGGTTATGTGCCATGTTTAGAGGAAGAGGGTTATAGTAAAAAATCAGCAAGTCGACCAATGGCTGATTCGCCTTTTTCACAAAGACAATGTGATTTCTTGATTTTGATACAGCATGATACATGGACCTAGAAATTCAAATTCACTAGAAACTCAGTGTCAAGTTTCCATTCAGGCTCCTATTTCTAAAATGTAACAGAACACTAAGGTATTTAATTATTTTTTAAAATCTCTTTTGAAATGTTCTCATCAATTTCTCTTTCATCCAAACATATTAGTTCTGAGGTTCTCAGAAGCTGTTTTCGCTGATAAATGGATTGATCTTTTATGAAAAACAGCATCTTATAAACTCAACAAGTGAGAGGAAGGTAGAAGTGACGGGAATCTGTTCTACAATGCTCTCAACTTGGTGACCTTCTATAGTAGATCACAATTTCTATTTTCCCATTCTGGCATTGCTGATTTATAAGGTTTCATAGGGATATATTGGAAATTGTATTTCAGCAACAGTATTGTTTTAGCCCAGTATAGCTTGGTGGTTGTATCAGATTGGGGGACATCATTTAAACATTACATGGAATCTTTTCAGAAATTTTTAGAGGATGATCTCCACTTTGGAACCATATTCCAAGGTTTAAGTATAAATATTTTGAAAATGTTAATTAAGCTCTCCCCAAATCTTAAGTTTTCCTACATCATATTGTCTGTCTTTCTCTCTATGAGCAGGTAACTTTAGAAGCACATCAAAGTCTGGTTTGCATCCATGCCTTGACAAATTCATCAGATGCCAAGCAATAAATCATGGGTAAGGAGATCCATGAATCTATCCCTTCTGGAAATCTGGTTAAGAATAAAGATATCCATCTAAAACATAAATTAAACAGCATGCCATTGGCTGAGACCCCTGCACCCCTCCATCAGGACCAAAAACCCTTTTGATTAATTTATTCTGTCAGACCAACAATCTCCTTTGTGAAGAAAATCAAGATTCCGATATCCACTTCTTAAACAAATACTACAGTTCAAACAGCTGCAAAAGTTGAGAAATACTTAGCCAAAGGAAGCACATAGAAATACACTTATTTTACCATAGTTCGGCAACACACACAAACACACCTGTCACTTCATGATTACATACATGTATGCCGCAAAAGGAAAAAAGTATGGAATTCTTTTGTTACCTTAAAAATGAGCTGTCAGGGATCTATCTGGCTGACTGGGGAAATGCGAAAGCAATCATTAAAAAAAAGGTGCTGGCTATTTAAAGGATTGAAGGGTGGGAGACCAATTCTGCAATGGTGTAATTCTAGACTCTGCCCAACCCACATTCCTTCCTCCAGACACCACCCCCACCCCCCACAAAAGGGCTGTTCACTAAACTACACAGGATTTCGGATGCTCCTTAATAGAAAAGTTGCTCACATCTTCCTGGCTGCAATGTTGTTGTTTTGAAAACCCTATGCAGGAGTGCAGAAATGTACATCCTAATTTCTCTTCTCCTCTTCAGCCCTGGAAGTAAGATTCTTATGTCCCTGATTTCTAATCACCCCAATTATGTATTAAGTATCGATCATAACATATTTAATGGGGAATTATATTGAGAAAGCAAATATTGAAAGCTCAGGGTCACCTAAGAGAAAGCAAAAGGTGTCCATGTGGCAATAGAGATTCAAAAGGGGACAAGCCATTTGTTACTAGTATTCTAAGAAAGCCTATAATAGTTTTAACCTCCCTTCTCAAGGTCGACATGTACAGGTAGTCCTCGATTTATGACAATTGAGCCCAACATTTCTGTTATAAGCGAAACATGTGTTAAGTGAGTTTTGCCCCATTTGATGACCTTTCTGTTCTGATCAAGGCTTCCTGAGACATTAACAAACACATGTTAGTCCCAAAAACCTTTTATTTTATTTCAATGGCTGTGAATTTTAGTCATTCACAGCCCGTAATGAGTCTC